CACCCAGCAAGAATGCCCCCGTGGATTTCCAAGGCTGTTAAATCTTTACAGGAGTAGAAACTAGCCTCGTCTGTTTTGCCCTGTGGGGAAACAAGGTGACGCATAACCAAGGGCTTAGGAGAGCATGGCAGTTTCCATAGTAACTAAGCCAGATGCCTCCCCCTCTCCCCATCACCACCAACACCACCTTTAGCTCCCTGACCATGATCTTTTTCTGGGCCACAATATCAGTGAGGTTGGTGCCCACCATGGGCCACGTCAGGGGAGGGTCCCCCAAGTCTCCCTTCCCATTGTGGTCACTCAGCTGTGCTGTGTCAAGGAGCTAAACGTGACCAAGTGGGGGTGACCCTATGCCCATATTCTGCATGCGCTTCACTAGTAATGTCTTCCCCAGGCCCGCGATGCCCAACAGGAGGCACATCCAGCTTTGGTCAATGTGAGTCCTGTTTGTTTTCCTGGCTAGGTCCATGTTACAGACATCGTTTATGTTGGTGATAAAAGATTTACAATGAAGAGGTTATTAATCTTCCAGAATTCTATCATGTGATCTCTAGCATTGTTTCTATCACCAAGGCCATATTTTCCAACTACTGCCCCATCCTCTTTGTTTCTAACTTATACATTCCAATCACCAATACTTCTCAATGCATCTTGATTGCATGTTTGATCAATTTCAGGCAGAAGTTTTTAGAATTCTTTAATTTCATCAGCACCAGCTGTAGTGGTTGGTGTGTAAATTTGCATAGTAGTTCTATTAACTGGACTCTTGCTTATAGGAGTATAGGTATTATCCAATCGCAGACAGCATTGTACGTCAAGATCTTGAAATTTTGTTTTTGATGATGAATGCATACCATTCTTTTTGCTTTTCCATTTTATTGGGAGATATTATAACAATCTATAGTTCAATTAGATCAAGCATGATTGTACAATTGTTGCCACCATCATTTTCAAAACATTTTCTGTCTTCTTGCACTCTTTGGTATCAGCTCCCTTTATCCCCTCCCTCTTTTCCCCTCCCCCCAAAGAACCCCCGTATCTTACACCATCCAGTGTATCTGTTCACCTATCATTCTGTTATCGTTCTCCTTGAATGGGGTTGTACAGTCATCATTGCTATCAGTTGTGTCGTACACCCCTCCCATACCATTATTGAATTTGTCGTTGAGTTGTAAGTCCTTACTGAAATCTGCAGTCTTTGATCTTCATCAGCAAATGCTTCAAATCCTCCCTTTCAGTAAGCAAGGTTGACAAGTCTCATACATAGGTACCTTAAAATCAACATGTCCCAACTAAACCAGTGAGTGTGGTCACCTTCCCTCCAACATTTTCTTGTAACAATGTTACCCACGGTAACATTGTTATAGCTACCAGTAAACATATAGTACTAGTAAACATCAGTTTTTATGCCAAATACCCAAAAAAGATTTTTAGAGTTTCCCTCTCCCTAACTGCTACACACTTAATTATAAATTCTGGCAATTCTTCCAAGTATGTCTCTGTACCATCTACCTCATCTTCATTGTTGTCTTCATTTCATGATTGTATTACAACCCTTTAATTATTTCTCCACATACGACTAATGAGAGTGATACCCCTTGCCTGTCTTTTGAGCCTCAGGTCATATATTTTTCTCCCTTGCTCACTGTACTTCCTTTGTTGGGTTTTTAATTTCTCAGATACAGCATTTCTCTTAATGCCTTTGCATCCTTTGTTCCTTTGCTTACCATATAAACCCTACTCTTATCTTATCCCATTGCTTACTAACTCATATTCATCCTTCCTATCTCAGCTTTAATTACGCTCTTAACTCCCATCACTGATTATCCATACTACTAACAGTGCTTGATATATCATAGTATATCGTTTTTCTTCTTAGCACTTTTGACAGTTTTAATTATGGAATTACATGTATATTTATTTTATATAAGGGATCAAGGTCATATCTGTCTCATCTATAAGTGTAATCTCTAATACATAGTTGAGTACTTGGCACATGATAGTGCTGAAGTTGATTACATAGTGAATCTTTCTTCTGAAACCCTCTCTGCTGTATTTTACACTCCTACCACTTCAAAATGCTTGCAGTTTGCTAGATGTGTAATATATCACACCTTCCTGATTGTGCATTAATCATTCTTTTTCTCCTGGTTCCCCTTTTTTCATTAAACTTTGTGAGGAATTCTTAGAATCTCACATGGATTTAGTTGACAGTTATTAGTGCTCTCATAATATGTAATTTTGTTGTTGTTGTTGTTGTTAAGACTTAATTTCTTTCTCTCATCTGGAATTTGTTCTCGTGTCTATCTCCTCCATTATAAGACTGAATAACGTAATTATCTTTGTGTTTCCTGTGATATCCGGCATATCTAGCACATAGTAAATGCTCAGTTTGTGGTGGAAGGAGGATATTCTGTATTCTTTTATCAATCTGCTCTATCTTCTCCATGTCTTTATGGAATAGTATTTCTCTTCCTCAACCAAGTAGGGCTATAATCTTTTATACCTGGATCACTGAATTCAGAGCCTTTGGATTAAAGAAAAACTTGAAATGTTGGCCCTTTATAGTTAGTTGATATACTGCTTGGGGGTTTTCTTATGCACCAGCTTGATTGGGGTGAGTCTTCATGTTCTCTGAAGTTACCAGGATTATGTTGTAATCTAGTTTTCATTTCAGCTAGAGCCACTCTCTTCCACCTGTCTTTGGTATTTCTTCTCTTTAAGTATGCATAATTCGTGTGAGTATTACTTTCTCTTGTGTACGTACATGCAACCCCACACTTTCATCCCCCCAGAGATAACCATTATTAATACTGTGTGTATATTATTCCACATCATCTTTCTCGTGAATTCTCTTAATAATTCCTTCTTGATCACCAAAAGGATGCCAACCACTGTTCTAGATATTGGAGATGTAGCAGAGAGCAATAGAGACAAAATTCTTATTCTCGAGATTAGAAGACACAATAAACAACTATATGTTACATATTGATAAGTACCTCAAAAAAGAAAAACAGAGTAAGGGACATAGTATGACTGTATATTTTATGTAAAGTGGTTAGGGAAGGTCTTTTGCAAAAGGTGACCTTTGACATTTTTATGTCTATTTGTTTATCTTTAGTGATATTCAAATATATTTTATTTATTATTTAATTTTCTTATTATATCATGGACCATTTTCCATGTCAGTAAGCGTACTCCTATTATATCACTTTTAGCAACTTGATTTTAATGTTGTTGTACAGATATTTCTTAGGATAAATGCCCTAGTGGAATTGCTGGGTCAAAGAGTAAACAATTTTAAGGTGTGTAATGTGTAACCTTAGGAGCCTTGGTGGCATAGTGGTTACACATTGGGCTTTAACTACAAGGCCAGCAGTTTGAACCCACTAACCACGCTTTGGGAGTAATACTGCCTTTCTATTCCCGTACAGAGTTACAGTCTCAGAAACCCACAGGGGCAGTTTTACTCTGTCTGATATGAGTAAGGATTGACTCAATTCAATGAGTTTTGTTTGGTAATAGGAATTCTTAGTTTATTCTCCATGTGTTACGTCTTCTGTGTATTGAATGGGTTCTCATAGTGAATGATTGATTATCTTTGCTGCCCTAATGATTTTTCTTCTGTCCTCCTATCAACTTTACCAGTCAGTATTCCCAGGGGCCAGTTTCCTTCATCTTGTCTACTATAGAATCTCATCCTTACCTAACTCTCTGTGTTTCAGAATTGCCCTTTTCTATGCCTTACACCTTGACATAAACCCAAACTCTCATTTCCTAAGTACTTTTTCTCCAGCTTGCTGACAAATTAATTCATAGTAAAGCACTTGTTATATTTGATAATGTTGGAGAGTTTCTGTGTTTTAAAAGAGAATACCTACTAACTCAAAGGTGTCAAATACTAATGGTAATATTTTCAGTAGTTAGAAATATTTTACCTAAATTCCTATGTGGTAGTCAACATAGATGACTTTCTACTTTGCCTGTACCACAACCCTGCCCTCCTCTGTAGTTTTTAATACTAGGTGAATCACTGATAGTGAGCTCCTGTCTTTTTTCCTGCATTTGCTTTGCCTTACTTGTTAATTATCCTTTTCTATTTTGGTTTCTTTCTCCTGTTCCTAGTTGTCATTGTAATTTTTTTCAATTTAATTAATGTATTTAGATGTATAGGTAACACATTTGACGTCTGCCAAAGGGTGTACAGTAAAAAGACTCCTATCTGCCCTCTTCTATCTATCTAGTGTCTCTCTCCAGGGCCAGCCAATATTTTCAACATCTTGAATGTTCTTCTAGATCAGTGGATCTCAACCTTCCTAATGCCGCAACCCTTTAATACAGTTGTTCATGTTGTAGTGAACCCTCCTAACCATAACATTGTTTGCGTTGCTACTTCATCACTGTCGTTTTGCTACTGTTATGAATCGGGCGACCCCTGTGAAAGGGTTGTTCGACACTCCCCCCACCCCTGAAAAGAGGTCGTGGCCCACAGGTTGAGAACCGCTTTTCTAGAGATACTTTAGAATGTATAAATAAATATGTGATTTACTTTTCATCATGAAATAGCACTATGGAGTCTAGTTAGTTCTATTTGAACCTTGGAGACAAGTTTTCCTTGGGTTTCTCCTTGGTTTCTACAGCTTTACCAAGACCAAACTCACTGCAGAAGAGTTAATTCTGACGTCTTAACTCTATGGGACAGAGTAGAACTGTGCCCTAGTGTAAATCCTTGTAGAAGCAGACGGCCACATCTTTCTACTGCACAGCAACTGGTGGGTTCCAACTGCTGACCTTCAGGTTAGCAGCTGAGGATTAACCATTGCACCACCAGGGCTCATTTCTCTAATATCAGGTACTGGATATGTGGTGCTTTTATTGTAGTAAAGGTTGCTGTGAGTTAGAATTAACTCGAGTTTTATTATTGTGGTAGTTGTAATTATGGAAGAAGGCAAATCTAAGTTGCCTTAAATTCTTTCTAAGTGCAAATTTCTCGTCATTAGGAATCAAAAATAAACAATGAGAAGTCCTATGATAAGAGCCCCCAGCCTGCTGAGAGCCTCCAACCAGCCACTAAGCAGTCTGACCAGCCCCTTACTGTCTATGAGTATTATGATGCTGGCAATCACTGGTGCAAAGACTGCAACACCATCTGCGGAACGCTGTTTGACTTCTTCACTCATATGCACAATAAGAAGCACACACAGGTAGGTGTCCTGTCCTGCGAGTCCCATGCTTTCTCCTTACCCTGAAACTTGTATACCTTTTACATTACAAAACCGGGAAATGAAACGTTCACATAGGGGCAGGAGCCCCAATTTGAAGACCCAAGAGATACCATCAAAGGAGATAATATCCCCAGGTCTCCGTCCAGGGGACCTGCCTGTAGCTAAACTCCAAGACAAGTGTAAGTGAGGCTTTTGCCTCTTTTGATTGCTTGAATATCTGATTTTTGTTTGTTTGTTTCATTTTATTCATTGCTAGTACTTGCTCTAACATATGTTTACCTTTTCCACAGGTGGTTTTCCATTTAAACAGTTGGCAGATGGGGCTTTGGGTGGGTAGCTGGGGCTCGTGATCCCATGGTTTTATGTGGGTGAAAAGAGAAAAGTGGTTATTGAACGTTTAGTGCTGTTGTGTGAGCGCCTCTGCCTCTTGCAAATAGACCCTGGATCCCTACAACAGACCTTGGGCTTCAAAGACCCAGAGTGAGGCCAATCAAGAGGCTGTGAAACGCACTGACAAGATAACAGTTCCTGCAAAAGGTATGTTTCATCCCTGCCTCCTTTGTATCTTTTTTACCAAGGAGGAGGCATTTCTGAAATATAAGGTGTTAAGAAGCAGTATAGGATGAGACATAACAGTTCATTTTAACAGAACTGTGAAAATACTTTCTGTGTGTAAAACACTGTAGGTATGTACTGTAGGTCCTGAAGAAATAGAGCTGTCAGACAAGAATAATCTGGATTAAAAAATCTGATCAATATAAAACACACATGTCACTCTAAAACACAGCAGAATTACTGTTATTTGTTTATTTGAAATCCAGACTTATAAAAAAGGACAGTAATTTATTCCAACTACCTTTTGAACTAATAACTAAAATATTTTGAGTAGTTGTTTAAGGGTAAGATGAAAAGTAGAAAGTTTTTTTGCCCAATTTATTAGCTCCACAAGTTGCAACAAGCTGCCACATCCTTTAGATCTGGTTGAAATAAATTTCTGAGTAATTAATACCAACACGAGGGATCCTCATACAAATGGTACTGGGTAATTGGGAGTACTTTTGAAAGCTCCTCAAATTAGCTTAAGGCTAGTTGAAATTGGAGAGAATCAATAACAGAAGTGGGTCTGACAGAGGAAACTCCTGAATCGGTCATTTAGTGTTCCCAAAAGGTAAAGGGGAGAGAGCTTCAGATTCAGACTTTAGATGTGGAAGACTCTTGTCATTGAGATTCATTTACCTAAGTACTGCCTTTGATTTCAAAGTAGATAAGTTCCTCTCTTCCATGTCATTTTAATGCAATTTAATGGGATTTCCATTGTTAGCTGTAAATATGGGTAGAAACAACTTCCAACTTTCTTCTACTACTTTCAGGCTCTGAGTTCCTGATGCCCATCAATGGATATTACTGCCAGCTCTGTGAGGAATTTTTTGGGGATTCAATTTCTGGAGAGCAACATGTGAAAGGAGAGCAACACAATGAGAACTATAAGGTTTGTCTTCGTAATGGCCTTTAAGGTTTCACATTTTCTGCAGCATTCATTTTACTTTGTCAGACAGCTTCTTTATTGCCAGAAAGAAACGTGGTTGACATTACTTCCATGTAACCATTAGGAAATTGTCCATAACCCTAGTGATATAGTTGATGGGACTATCTTTATCCTTAAGGAAGATGATTTTAGGGATTTTCTATGAGATTAGTTCTATCAGTAGTGGAGTCAAGATTTTTTTTTCTTTTGTAGGATTTTGACCAGTTGTTGAACCTTTATCTTTTTTCTTCCCAGAAATATGTGAATGAAACCCCATTATATGAGGAGCGACGCAATCTGGACCGCCAAGCTGGCTTGGCTGTAGTCCTAGAGACAGAACGGCGACGGCAGAGTGAGCTTAAGCGCAAACTTAGTGAGAGACAAAAGGAGGAAACAAAAGAAAAAAAGGCAAAGGTTGTGAAGGAAATAATGGAGGATGACAAGGTCTCCCTGGAACTAGAGGACCAACTCTCTGAGGGTGGAAACTCCCCTGAAAATAAAAGGAAGTCTAGTCTCAAACTCCAATTAAAGGAAGAGGTAAAGAAGGAGTCTCTAGTGTCTTCATCTTTTGGAAAATTCAGTTGGAAGAAGCCAGAAAAGGAGGAAGAAAGAAGTTCAGTGGTGGCCCCAGCTATCCCTAAGGAAGAGATTATGGAAAACAATAAGGACAAAGAAGATAGCAAAGCTGAAGCTGGGAAGGCAAAGCCCATCAAAATCAAGCTCTCTGGGAAAACTTTGGTTGCACACACCAGCCCTTGGATGCCTGTTGTGACAACTTCAACACAGACTAAGATCCGACCCAACCTGCCTATCCCATCCACAGTACTACGCAAGTCGGGTTCAGCCACAGTGAGCAAGCCAGCTCCTCTTAACACCTTCCTATCCATCAAGTCTTCTGGAGCTACAGCTAAGCCTCTGCCAGTGGTCAAAGAGTCCACATCTGATCTCCTTTTGCCTCCAGACATCATCTCCAAAGCATTTGGAGGGGAAGAGGTGGTTCTAAAAGGATCTCCAGAGGAAAAAATGGTGCAAGCTGAAAAAAATGAGCCATCCCATATACCTGAGCAAATGCTACCACCTCCACCACCTCCACCTCCACCTCCGCCACCCCCTGCTCTGCCTCATCCAACTGCCCCATCTCCTGGTCAAGTGAATGCTGTCTTGGCTCCAGTAAAATCAAGCCCAACTGTATCTCAAACTCAAAGCCCTGGCATCCTGGCTCCTAACATTTTGAACTCAGTAGTGCCTGTGGCCATTGTGGCCTCAGCACAGGCAGCTTCCATTCCTTCTGATGAGACTGCGCCAGGGGTGAGTGAGAGTGACAGAGACCAGGCTTTATTATTCTCTCTGTTAGTGCGTCCTCCTCCACCCCTCTCAAGTGTTTTCAGTGAACAAGCAAAAAAATTGGAGAAGCGAAATTCATGCCTAGCCACCGCCAATGCTAAGGATTTGTATGACATATTCTATAGCAGTGGTGGGAAAGGAACCCCTGAAACTAAACTGAGTGGTGGTCCATTGGCCAATGGAGAAAATAGCAACCTCTCCAGAGCAGAAAGTTTAGACAACTCTTCCACTTCTCCTTTGAACAGCAGTGCATCCGAAGAGGATTTGCCCGAAGATAGGTGTTTAGTCACTGCCCCTTTAATGAGCAACCCTGAAAAGCCCATTGCCAAAACTGTAGTATCCCTAGGGAAATGGTCAGTTGTGAAACACACAGACCCCCAACTTAGAGACAGCAGCCAGGGCTTCCTACAGCCTCTGACAAGGTTGTGTCAAAGCAAGCATTATGAAGCTCTTAGCCCAAACGCCAACAGTCCATCGTCGACTGTGTGGTCTTCTAGCTCTTTCCAAAGTGATGCTACTAAGGACATGTCTCCCGATAGAAAAATCAAGCTTGACCTTGGAGAACCAGGACCACCTGATGTAGAGCCACCCCTTCAGCAGTCAGACATATACTGTCATATAATGAGACCTCAGCAGTTGGTGGGACTCCATCTCAGAGAATCTGGTAACCAGAATGAGGAAAACCGAGAGCTACACCAGTCTGAGAATTGTGGGAAAACTGAGGTAGAGACAAACCGTAAACTACAAAAAATAGGAGCAAAGCTTTCCAAGGGGATGGTGGAGGAGGAAATGGGTGTGGACCTTAAGCCCCACAGCAGAGAAGATGCTGATTTGAATGATGGAAACAGATACATATGGGAGGGAAAAGCTGAACAACCCAAGTTGCTGATGACTAACGAAGAAGCCGAACAGCCCAACAAACTAATGGGAGGAAGTGAAACGCCATGTAAAGTAGTCATGGGATTGAGTGCACAGGCACTCTCTTCCACAAAAAGAGACTCGTTTCTGTCAGAAGCTAGGTCTTTACTCCAGAGTCCACAAAATAAACCTGTGACAAATTCTACCTCCAAGTTACTTCTTGCTTCCTCAATCAGATCAGAGATGTGTTTAACAGACGGTTCACAGGAGCAAGGAGTTTCAGTTGGTAGTGAAGATTGGCTGGAAAACTCAGCTTCAAACTCAGCTCCCACGATTTCTAGGTACAGAAGCCTCAAACTCAGGAGTGAAAGATCAAAAGGCTTCCAGGGTAAACTGAAACTGGCTGTTTGGGATGAGGAGAAAAAGAAGCCAGAGTCCTGGGAAAGCCCAGAAAAAATAGAAACCATGGAACCAAGAAATGCCCATTCACAGTTAACAGTGACTAGAGAAAGCAAAACCTCAGAAGACTTTGAAACTACAGACTTAAAATTAGAGGAGCTTGCTGCACAGAGAGATATGTGTGTTGATTCCTGCCCTTCTCAGGTAGAGCCAGCACATCAATCCTCAACTGCTCTGTCCCAGAAAATGTATCAAGAAAATTCTGCATCACTTAAAGGCTGTAAAACATCCACTGCTGCTGACTTTGAACCAATCCCATCCTTTTCTGGATTTCCATTAGATTCTCCAAAACCCCTGGTGCTTAACTTTGAGGCAGAAGATGAGCAAAATAGGAGGATCCCTCCTAACATTATACAAACTGGACTACCTGTAGAAAATGTTGACCTTGGCTTGGGGGGCCTAGATGTAACACAGCAGGCCCTTGACTTGTTGGCAAGAGGAATGATGCCTGAGGAGGTAGAAGAAACTTCCCAATTAGAGGAGCAAGAGTCATTCAGATTAGAATCAGAAATAGCAAACTCCTCAGGCCTTGGACCCTCTCCTTGCCTTCCAGACCTTGTTGACTTTGTTACACGGACATCTGGAGTTCAGAAAGACAAATTGTGTTCTCCTCTCTTGGAATTAGGTCACCCTCTTGAGTGTAACTCTTTGGAGGTAGGACCCCGTCAGCCAGAAATACCAGCTGCTTCTGTCATCGAGGTAACAATTCCTCAAGTAGATGAGGACAATTCAGAGTCTCCTTCTAGGGAACAGGTAGTTGGAAGTAATATCTTTCAGCAAATACCTGAACAAG